GTAACCATGCAGTTGGCAGGTAAACCAACAGAAATTCAATGCAAAGAACCTCATAGTTCTGCTGAGATGCATTACCAATGTGATGGGAGCTTTTTTGTGTCTCTACCCCTCACTGACTGGGCAATAATTCCCTGGTAAAATGCACTATCTCCATCTGACTGAACACCAGCAGTGTTCTCACTTCCCCTCCTTCAGTCAGCCCAGCTCAGGAAGGGTTGAACGGTTCAGACCAAGAAAGCTTCTGGGGTGGCTTGTAATTATAGCACCATGTTAGGGGTTTATTTTTGGTAATACTATTCAAAGCACACTCACAGTAGCATAGTAAAAATTCATATTAATTCAGTAATAAGAAGTGAGACCTGGAGGGATTAATACCCACATGAGAAGTGTGACAGCATGAAGTCAGCCTGAGGCCACAACCACCCCAGCTAGTTACTCATTTTGGGAGGAAATACCTCATGTGATCATTATTGCTGTTAGAATCTGTTTGGAATTTTATTCAGAAGGAAAACAAACATCTTTCTCACACGGCTTTAAATCCCCCAAGTGTTACCAAAATGAATTCTTTGATTACCACCACAGCTCTTGGATTTCTTCTGGAAAATTTATCCTCAGAAAGGGATGCCATCCTTCTCTCTCTATCTTCCTTCTGTACACACATCAACCTGCAATAAGCTTTAATAACCATGCTGGGTTGGGGGTTAAATGCATGACATTTTCATTGCATGAGAGAAATAATGAAAGGAGGGATGGCTAAGTACTTGAGCTGGGTTTCACTCCAGATACTAAGAAAAGCAAACACTCATGCCAACAAATATAAACCCTCACAACTTGAGAAAATAATACCTTCTTGAACCTCAAGGTGCAGCAATCACACATTTGTCCACCTCTTGGAACTGGAGCTGACTAGAACAGATCACAGAAATTGCATCACAACACACAGCTAATGATGTTTAAATGGGTTAAAGAAATAACAACTAAACTGTCCCTTTAAAGGCTTATTGTAGACCTGGCAGCTGAGTGACCTACATTTGCCTGGTCAAAGCCATCTGTGAGAGGGGGCAAAAGAAATACTTTCAGAAAGGAAATTCTGGTTTGACATTAAAAGATAGACTCTTCCTTTCCATTGCTCACGGGCCTAGAAAAGCAGACTGAGCCTATCCAGGGTACACAGCAGCACAGCAGACTTGCACGTCAGCTGCTGGCAGCACAATAAAGACCACAGAGCTACAGCCATGTGAGAAGTCGATGATTTTTGGATTATTTCCTCAGTGCAAATCTTTCCTCTCATTCCTTTTCCAAATACAAAAATAAAAAGCTTTAGGGAAGCACTTTCCTTGTTAACATATTTCTTTAAACTTGCCCTGTTTATGCAAGAATGCTTTAGTTATTTTATTATTCTGGTGATAACTCTATTTTTTTTTCTTTCTGCTCCTAAGAACCAGATACAAGGTGCACATCATGCTTACAGATGTGGACTCAGAAGTTTTGCCACTCCACCACAAAAGCCACTTGCTTCTCAACAGAGAGAGAGAAGGTGGCAGCTGTAAGCATCCTACAAGTTATAAGCAATTGTGGTTCTGTCTTCTCTATCCCCAAAACAGAGAATAAGAAGTACTAAACCCTAGCCCATGAATGATATTTCCTTTCAAGATGTTTTCTCTCTTTAAACATGTTATGCTTTTGCATGCCCTTATTACTTTTCCATGTGTGCCTCTCTATAAAGATATCTAAATGCTTCGATTTTTTTTTGTCTAAATGCTGTGATATTTTTTCACTGTCTCCTCATTCCTGTTTGTTCTTATTGTATGGTACAGCCCACACATTTTAGCCAGGTGCAAAATAGAAAAAAAAAAAGGTTGTGCTAATGGGAACTCAACTCTTCAAGGCTGGGAAATGCTCTCTGTCTTTGCCAGACATCACGGAGAACCATCAGCTTTTAGTGTTTCCATACTCCTTCCAGTGACTGACCATCATTTCTGATGCACTGAAACTTTTTAAACTAGGCTTCAAATTGTAGGTACCTCAAATCTCTCTTTCTCTGAGCTTCAAGTGCAGCTCTGGTTCCCTAATGCCTAACTGAACTAACTTTCAAAAGCTGAAAATGTGAATATCCTCTTCAAAGACAAGGTATATCAAATTTTATGATATCTAAATCATGTTCTGAATTTTGATTAAAAAAAAGTTGAGCAGTTCTTTGTCAGCTGCCTGGAAGTAGGCAGAGAACTTTTCCACTTGCAGCTCAATGATACAAACACATTTGGCTGCTGGAGAGGATTGCTGTTGCTGTCAAACCTATTTGCCTTGGAATCCATCCAGTTTCATTCTACCATGTTATCAACGTGAGCTTAATCTCAGCCACAAATGTCCATTCCTCTTTTATTGCTTTATGGAAGTCTGCTAAAATTACAGCTTTTATATAAAGTCCAGCACAGTAAATAGAGATTGCACTGACTGTACAATTTGTGAAAACAGAGGTGTTATTTTTTTAATATCCTGACATGAATTTCCAGGATCATCCATTTAGTGAACACTGCACACTGTTCTACAGCATAAAAATCTAGAGTAACTCACATTTTGAAATCCATTTTCCATCTATTTGATAGGAACACTAATCTCCTTTGTAAAGAAAGTTTTTACCGTGGATTTTGCAAATTAAGGAAAACTATTAGCTTTGTCCTTCTAATAATTCCATTTTATACCAACATTTTTTGTTCTCATTCTGTTTTTACAGTCACTACCAAAGAATCTGAAAGTTATGCAATAAGACAGGCTTTAAAGCCACCAGGGACTTGCTAACACAAGATGGAAACAACTTATTATGCAAGTAAGATTAAAACACTGACCTTGAGTCCTCAGTCTTTTGCCAAGGGGCAGCGTGTGTGGGGGGGGGTGGAAAATCAACTGTGGTACAGAAGCTTGCACTGTGCTTAGGAAAGCACAAGAATTTTCAAAAGCAAAGGCCTCCATCATATAAGAAAGTGGAGACACAACAGATATAGTGATCATTTTAATATTTCACAGGCAAGTCATCTATTAGGAAATAACACAGCTTCACTTCTGCCCACAGGCAGTATCATTTTCTGCTCATCATCCTCTCACACTGCAGCCAATCCTGCAGTGATTGTTCCAAACCATCCCATTCTCTGCTGGCCTGCAGAGGCCACCCCAGCAGCAAGGGCCAGCTTGTGGGGATGGGAGCCCAGCTGTGCCAGCAGCCTGGCAGCAGGGCTGCTGCAGGGGCCAGGCCAGCTGGGATTCCCTTGGACACAGAGGGTGCCAAGGGCTGGAGCAAAGAGGCTCCAGATGCCTTTGTGCTCCCAGTGCAAGGCCAGGCCCCTGGATTAGCAGTGACTCAGCCATGTCCTACAACCTGGGGCTGTCACACTGCACAGCCCAGAACAGAGGTGCTTTATAGGAAATTATTAAGTAGGAAAACACAAGAAAGAAAATATGACTTTTGCCTCAGTGCAGTCATGTTAACACTCCTTGTGCCTGTCTCTGGCATTCCCTGCACTTCCCTAAGATCATCAGTGCCATGCTGGTTTTATATCAACAGGCCCAGGCCAGCATTTGCACGGGTTTGATAAAGCAGTGACAAAGGAAATGAGCAGCACTTGGGAAGATCAGCATCTGAACAGCTGGTTCTGCTGCTTGAAAGTTATGCTCCACTGAGGCAAACAAGAGGCTAACAGGTTAATTCTATTTTCAACTATTCTTTTAGATGGAGAGAGGTTCTTGCAGGGGCTGAGAATGTCTTTATCAGCAGCAACAGAGTTCTACTGTCTTACTGCAGTCAGGCTGGAATACTGCCTCAAGGTAACACTCTTTTTTATGTTGTTTGGGGCAGTAACATGGCTTTAAAGAGATAATTACAGCTGACTGCATCACTAGGAATCTTAAAGAAATAGATGATATGAAGGAAGGTTTCTTTGGTTATGGCTTTTCGGTGCTTTTTGTTTGGCTTGGGTTGGATTTTTTGTTAACTACCCCAAAAAACTTCTCTTCTTGTGTCTCCCAGAAGAGAGCTGAGAGGGAAAGAACCAGAGAACTGCTGGAATACACATTCAGAGGAAAGATAGACAGAATAGAGACATTTCAGGAGCACTCCATCCCAGGGGATCTCCATGCCTGTTCTGCTCAGCTTCCAAACTGGAAACACATCTATTTTCCTTCCATACTTACATTAAAAACTCTGATAGATTGGTATCTAAGAAGACAAAAAAGTGTTTCCTCAGAAATGGGAGAATTCACTGGAATTGCTTGCAACAGCACAGTTCCACTCAGCCTTAAAGACTGACTAACTGTTATTACAAAATTCATATAAACATATACAGTGTTTAAAATATTCTGTGTATTAAATAATTTTGTTTCTTTCTTCAAACAGGAAATTTTGCTAAAAGAGGTGGTAGAAAGAGAAAAAGCAAAAAAAAGAGAAAATAAAAAAAAGGTAATAAGTAGAAATTCTTTGGAAAAATCCAAAACAAACCTAGGGTTTTGAGTAGGAAAAAAGTGAACAGACAGTTGGTCATCCTTTATGAAAAAAAGGGTTAGATTAATCATTTTTCAACCAATTAAAATCAGACTGACTGTGGAAATTAAGAATACAATTATAGAGCTGTTATTTGTTCTGATTTTTATTATTATGGTGAAGATGGAAATGTCAAATGAGAATGTGGCAGAAAAAGGAAAAATCTCTCAATCATAACACAAAAGGGGAATAAGATAAAGGAGAATGAGATAATCTGCTTAGTACAATTACAGAAGAATTATATGTGTCCTTGGGTATTATCATATCTATAGTCATATATATATGTATCTCATCATATAGTCATGAGGGAGGACAGCCTTCCACAGCAGATGGTAAATGCTGCAAAAATCAGTCTCAATCTTTAATAACTTTACCGTAACTATTAAAAAATATCACCTCTAATCTGCCATGTCATTCTGAAAAAACATCACTCCCACTGGGAATGCCGTGTGTGTGCACAGACACGCACCTCTTTTCTGCCTGGGCGCTGTGCCGCTGGTTCTGGGAATGCTGCTGGATCTGGGAATGCTGCTGGATCTGGGAGTGCTGCTGGTTCTGGGAGTGCTGCTGGTTCTGGGAGTGCCGGCTGCCCCTCGGTGTCCCCCTGCCCCCGTGGCTGCTGTTCCGGCCCCCGGCAGGGGCAGGGGCACGAAGCCCAGCCCAAAGCTGCTCCTCGTTCCTGTGGAGCGGCACGGATGTGCGGATGGCAGAAATGACGTGGCCGGGATAGGCAGAGAGCGAGTCCTCGTGGTGGGAGCTGTGGTGAGTCCTGTCCGAGGCCGGGAACTGCCGCCCCGGGCGCCGGTACCCCCGCTCCCGCTCCCGGTAATAGGCGGGGAGGCAGGGCCGGGTCTGCTCCATCACACCTCCACTGCAGCTCCGGGAGCAGGCAGACCAGGGGCCCCAGTTGCCCCACATGCCTGGGATTCCTGCACTGCTGTCCTCAGACGCATCTCCTTGCTCTTCTATCCTCTGGGGAACCTGCAGACACAACACATGGATTAAGGAATTAGAATTCACGCTGTAACACGAGGAGAGCACTAATACCCTTGGTCCAGCCATTCACTCTGCAGCCCTAAGTGAAGTGGAATGACATAGGAAGTAGCATCTCTCATTCCCAGCCTGCCAGAGGATGGCCTGTCCTGCCAGTATAGGAGGAGGTTTCCTACAGCCATCAACCATTCAGACAAAAAGTTTGGGCGGGTCACTTTTTTGGACTATCTGGATAGAAACAGTTTTTCTTTAGTTCTCAGCAATGGAAAGCACTGCGTGATGCAAAGCTTAGAAATGTAGAGACTGAAAACTGTTGTCATAATAGCAAAAGCAGGAAATAAGGTTGGTTTTGGTGATGAAATAGGGTCAACAGACACTGGTTGCTCTCTCCCACTCTGATGCCTCCAACAATGGAGATTGCTAGTGGTTGCAATACTATTTCAGGAACTCCCACTTAATGTGGAACTTTTTATGAAAGCAATAATGTAAGAGGACAGGCTGATTTCCAACCAACCAAAAATGCTGCTATAGTTAACTCCTACATTACCACTTTTCCCCCAGTCTCCATATTATCACTTCAAGAGAAAGAGTTGTTCAAGATGACCCACCAAATCCTACATTCACAGAAACTCCCATCAAACTCAATAAAAGACAGGACAAATTGTTGGTCTCTGGCGTTCAGTGCCATTTAGTCCATTCAGCAGCACAAGGAAAGTGAAAGAATGAATCTCACAGAGAGGGGTCCTCTTGTGAAGGAAGCTGGGGAGGTTTAGGAAGGACAGGGTCTGTTACCACGAGGAGAGTTAACCCTTCAAGCTGTGGCCAAATATTTCAACATCCTGACCTTGTGGTTGGAAAGGTACCAGCGCAGCTAAGAAGTTACAACTACCCATCCCCATCTCCCTGTGGATTTGTGGCTCAAAGTTTACCCATTCTTGGAGCTAGATATAGTCAGGATTTCTCAGAGTTTGCACTGGGTAAAGAACTCAACTTTGTCACACAGAAATTATATGTATTTTCATTTGCTTCCCTTGACCAACTGGCTGAATCACGAGTTTTCAAAGCAGGTTTCCAATGTCTGTTTCTCACAATTATTAACATGCAGAACATCCTTTTAAAATGAGCATCCTTTAAATCGTTTATTTATATTCTGAACAACCTTTGTACCAACAAGCACACACACATATCAATTCATATGGGAGACAAAAAGAAGGCACTGTCCACAAACAAATGCTTGCCATACCTCTCCAGAGCTATTTCAGTGTGTAGCTACCTCAAAATGAGTTTTGTCTGTCTGTCTGTCACTTCTGCCCCCTTCAAAGGATGAGAACCTAAGCATGAAACTTCCAGCAATAATTGTATAATAGCAAAAGATTAACATCTACACACTTTGCCTCCAGTCACGGATCCCACGTGAGGTCAGTAACTGAGCTGCACCCCACCTACGGCAGGGAGCTCCCATTCCTCATCCCACCTAGGGCAGGGAGCTCCCATTCCTCATCCCACCTAGGGCAGGGAGCTCCCATTCCTCATCCCGTGGCTGGGAACACGGCAGGCTGAGGGGGAATGTGGTTTGCAAACACGGGTTGGCCTGAGTGTTACAATCCAAGGAGCCAAGCCAGCCCAGGGTTTGTGGTGCTGATGTGTAACAGGCACTTGTGGTCTGCATAATCTGAAACATTGCCCCGCTCTGAGGCTGCTCTCACACTTTCATCACCAACCACAGAAGAAACTGCATTTAATTATAACTTCTGAATAACAAAAAGCATCTGCATCAGTGTGATATGTTACCCATTTCTCCCATGTAATTTGAAAACAGGAGCAGATGTCTCTGTATTTAATATGTCTTTTTTTCCTGTAGGTACCCCATTTGGCATCAACCTTTATAATCCAATAGCCTGTACAACCTAATACTGCACAATGTCAAAATTATGAATAACATGCAACAAGGTCTTGATTTCTGGCTGTTATATCTGCTCTTATATCCAGTAACAGAACACCACTGGCTTACAATCTGACCAACTAAACAAGCTATTCTTCAGTTTGTGATTTTTTACAGTAAATATTCATTGCTCATACTTACATTGCACATTAATGTGGTTCCCCCTCAGATATAAAATGGGAACAGCTACACACAGGAACACTATCTGGTCTGAACCCACTCTGAAGCAAAATTTATTTATTATAAAACCAGCAGTCCTTTGTAATCAAACAAATGATGTTTCACTTGTTTAGACTATTTCTTAATCATTTCTATAATGGTTCAGTACACCTGTTTTTTTAAAATGCCAAAGACACTCATGTAGGGAACAACTAAAAACCATTAGTCTGTAAGATAACTCAAGTTACCACTAACATAAGAAATATGTCATTATACAGAAACAGAAAGTGATATAACAGTGACAAGTGTCAACTTGCTGCAGAGAGAACTTTCTGGCTGCCAAACTTCACTGCAGCAAGAATTGGTTCAGATAAAATGATACTTTATATGACTGAAGGCAATCTAAAGTAATTTCACATCCTTTAATCTTCACAGTAAAAGAGGTCTAGACACAGCACAAAAAGGTTTAATCTAGCTAATTATGTAAGAACATAACAATAAAACTAATAAAAAAGTAATATTATAATGTCTTGTACTGATGTGCAAACTCATCAGTACTACTTAGCTACAAGATGACAAAATTCTGAGATGGGAATTTTTGGTAGCAAATCAGGTTATGCACTTTTATTTTTAATGAAGGTCCCTGTTTTCTTACTTTAAGATGTGGGCTACAGATGAATCTTTAGAGGACATGACATGATTAATGGTATAATCTACACAGCAAATCTACTATGAAAGACTGAATAAATTGAAGCTGCTCGGATTTAGGAATGGAAAACAGAGGGGGCAATAATGAGTCTTCCAAACAGTTAATATAAATAAATACAAGGAGTTGGTCCTTTTCTCTTTGCAGCAAACTGTTCTTGTCTGTGGTCAACACACAACAGTGGACTCAAAGTTTACCAAAGGTGACCTAAATTAGCCACTAAGGAAAACTACTTCAGCAGAAAGGCCAACAAAGCAGGGGAACAGATTGCCTGAGGAGATCCTGGCAGCACGAAGGCCAATCCCAAAGCTCTGCCAGGCAAAGCCCTGCCACAGGACTCACAGGCCACTTCCCTTCCTTTGGTCCTGGGATTTCTAAGTTACTCTGTAGCCAGTAACAAATTCCAACACAGCCCCAGGATACAGCCAAGAAATTCCAGGTAGCTACAGGAGACAGCTCAAGTATTTCAGAACATTTCAGAAACACCACATATTCAGAGACTCCTGACACTAAGTCCCTCTTCCTCTTGCTTTAAAAACTACCCATTACAAGCACACTTTCTGAAGGGAAGAGTTTGAGCCTGCACTGGGGAACAAGTGAAACACAAACTGAACTCCTCTTGCCAAGTTAACTAATTTCTTTAATAGAATCACATAGCCTGCAAAAAGGGAGAGATAACTAACCCATTTAATCTACTTTCCCATAATTCATGACCAATCCCTTCTCTAGGTGACCTATTAATATTCATTCTAAGTATAAATGCACCATCAAAAAGATTTCTATCTACTGCAAATTAATCAACAACCAAACATTTTGCTCTACAAACTCAATTTATTTTCCCCCTTAGTTTCCCCCCTTTTTTTCTTCCCTATATACATTTCAGTTATTTGGCAGGACAAGATTTGTAAGTGGAAGCAACACATTTCACTATGTGCAGCTGTACAATAAACAATGCAAAGAAAAGTAAGAGGAGCTCCCAGTTGTGCAAGTGTTTGCAATTCCTACACCTGCACTAACTCCTATTGACCTGCTGTCAAAAACTCTTTACAATGGTTGTTATGCACCAAGTATCTTCCAGTCTGCCACCTTTCCAACAGTAAGTGGCAAACTGAATCAAGGCAGGATTTTTAGCAGGGTAGTTTCAGTGTCACCCCTTCCTTTACACATCAGCTCTGCATCCCCTTCTGGTTTTCCCCCAGTCTTCTTGTATTTTGCTACTTTTCCACACAGGAGCTGCATTACATCCAGGTTTTATTGTAAGAGCTTGTTGGGGTTTTTTTTTGCAAAAACACACTGAATTAAACATGCTGCCAGTAGGTTGGCATAGACGACATTTTAAATAGAAAACCAGTTTATCTCAAATTCCTGTAATTCAGCACTCACTCTGATTCCTGAATTAAAAATTGCAGCAAAAATTAAAAGAACACTAACTGCAGAAATGCAGTGCAGATTTCTAATACTGTCTCTGTCAGGATCTAGAAATAAGATCCACATCCTGGGATTTCAGCAGCAGTTGTTTTAACTATACTATGCAAGAATGTCCCTGAAGAGGAAACATCACTTGAACTGAAAGCCACAAATACTTAAAACTGAAGTTGTTGTGCAGGAGCACAATGGCAGACAATGCACTACTGACCTGAGAAACACTAATTTAAAATACTGTAGGATACTTCATCCATTAAACCACAGCTTCCATACAAATTAACTATTCAGAAAAGGAGGGGGGACAAGTGGATAAATCAGAGGCCCATCTACAGTAGAGTACAGAACAGTGCTATGTTTCTGACTGTGTGGAACAAGCAAAGATTTAGGGAACAGTGTAAGAACCAGGTCACATTCAGAGACATCCACAGACCCTCTGCTTCCAGCTAATCAGTAATTTCAGGGCTTCCTTCAGCTAAACACCATATTGTAATTCTTTTTCATAACCACCACCGGACCTACTCTGCATGAATACAATTAATACCCTTTTTAGCGTATTTTTAATCTTGGCTTCCAAAAGACTGTGCATTTTAAATTGAAAAAGTGGTTTTCTTACCTCTGGTTATACCTGCAGCCTGACAATTTCCTTGTGTCTCCCAAATTACTTTCTTGGTGATAAACAAAGAATGATCATTCTGTATTCTCCTCCACCACACCAGGATGTTTGATTTGCAATTGCTAACACAACCCACTTCCAGG